ATATATATATATATATATATATATATATATATATATATATATATATATATATATATATATATATATATATATATATATAAAAGAATACACTAACATTAAGGAAATGGTTGAAAAAAGTAATGATTTTTATTATACTTTTTGTGACAAAACATGGGAAAACAATTGCAAGTCTTTTTTATTCTCGATCATCTTTATAAGGTTCTTATCGATAATTACTATCGAACAAAATATGAGTCTAACATATTCCTGCATATTGAATATCGTACTATCCATAAAGAATCAAAGAATAACCAACCACACTTCTCTTCCACATGGGAAGAAAGGTCGTGTTTGGGAAGAAACCCATCCCTGCGACTTATTATCGAGGCCTCGATAGAGAACTTTTTCGCATTTATTATTTGAACAAACATATATTATGAATAATGTTCAGCCAATATAATTTCTAAAAATTCAAAATTTAATATTACATCATAAAATCTACTTTAACTAATTTATTTCCAGACTCTTACGATATTGAATATTATGTAATAGAGTTGACAAATATAGCTTGGTTGAATAAAATTGCCAAATCAACAATGGTAATTATATCAGTTAAGTGGAAGATAAATCCTAGCCGTCCATGTTCCCTACCTATCAGACAAAATTACCAAAGGTTTGGGGATTTGCAGATCTGACGGCTGACATGTGGACAACAATTAGCTGACGGACACAATTCTTTTCCCCCTTGTAGTGACAACCAACGATTCCAACGTTGGATGTCCCTAAAACTATATAAAACTAATGTCTATTATATATTCTGCCACGAATAAGGCTATAACCTAAAGATTTTGCTTCCTTTTTTCGTTAAAAAAATCATCTATTAAGTATGAATTCACCTAGGACAGTAGGTTGCATAAGAAACAAACACGGATCAATTATAATCTTCTCCAATAAGAACAATGGAGCTACCTATGTGTAGGATACATTGATGAAAGTTCCATAACGTCATATATAAGACATGATTATAAATCTTAATTGGCTAAAAGTTCAAGAGCTGTTTGGTTGCTAGGCAAAAAACGGATGAACTTAATTCTAAAATGGTTGCATATGACTCGTAAAACAAAGATTTGAACCTGTGACATCTTGTGTGCAAGTGGCAACTGAATTTGCCAACGAGCTCACCGCTTAGAGGCTGAAAAGTAAATAGAATATTTGAATAAAGTAAGAGTATAACAATATCAATTAATTTGAAGCTTTTACAAACAACAAACAATTGATATTCGAGACTATCTTTTCTACAGAGACAGGGTTAAATTAAGGATGATAGTCATTCCCTTACCTTAATACAAAAAGAAACAAAGTTAACTTTGTTTCCGAAGCCTCGTAGCTATTAGCAAATTGATCACGCACAACAGAATCTAAAACATCTAAATACTAATCAAATCGTACCAAGTTTTTCTCTAATATATACAAATATACCAAGACATCATCCCAAGATAGAATTCGACATGTAATTTGAGTAAGATTACCTTTTTTAAAAACAAAATTATGCCCATTAACATGGTTAAAATTGGTTCTAGAAACTTCAAATGCAGCACTAACTCAAATATGTGACACTCTAAAAAAATTCATCTTAAAACGCACCACAAGTATCTTTTAAGCATTTAAACTAACTTAATTTAGCATCGACAGACAGACAAACAATATCTCTGTCTACAGATCCTAGACTAGCTGAGATATAAACTTTTTCAAGAACAAATGAAAATGTTGAAGGCGATAGGGTTGTGGTGTGGTAGGTTATCAAAGTGATCCAAACATGCATGTTTTTGTCTGTTCTATAAAAAGCTTGATGATCTGATACCTACTTGTTGGTTTCGCAATCTATACCCCTTTGAAGGCAATTCCTAATACTTATTGTCTGAGAAAACCCACAATGTCCCATCTTCCCCAAAGCTATGCTACAAAGAAAAAGATCCCAATTGCAGAAACTGCTCAGAGAGAAAAAAAATCAAAATAAGTTGATGACCACTATCCCCTTGATATTCATTTTCTTAAAATAATAATTAAAGGTAGAACAGTAGTATAGAATCATGACGATCGAAAAAATTCAGCGATGGAAAAACGAAGAAAGAGATCAGCAAACGAGAAACTCAATATGAAAGAATCCTGGGGAAAGAACCTGGAGACGAACACATTTGTTGAACGAAGAAAGAGATCTACTCTTCTCGAGGTCAAAAGTTCAAATTCCTACCTCCACATTTGTTGAACTAACAAAAAATACTATATGACAAGATAACGTTATTAAGTGCGAGGATAGAACCTGGACGTGCAGCTGCGCAGCCAAAGGGAAACACAGCACAGTTGTATCCAAAATAAAGCACAAAACAGTAAAAATGAGAGCAGCAACGATCGTTGCATTATTAAAATTTCTTTAAATAACATCAGTTACTTGGAAAGCTGGAAGCCTCAACAAACTCCTTCCACATACAGGACCAGCCAGCCCCAAGTCCTCTTTGAATTCCTTCTGGTTCAGAAATTTAAGTTAGACAAAGAATTTGAAACAAATAACAAGAGATGGAAGAATAGGATGTCGAGATACTTCCACGCTTGGAACTTGAAAGAAACAACAAAATATTCTATCATCTATAAATAATCAAAGATTCTTCTACATTACATCAGAGCATCAATTAGACAAAGAAGTGGAACTAAAAAAATTGACCATGTTATTGCAGTACTTAACAGCAACCACATAAGTTGATTTCTTGCAGCTAATTTGAGGTGTTTTTCCTGGCAGCGTATGCACGGAATGCTGCTAGCCCGACAACGCCCGCAGCAGCTCCAACTGTAATTTGAAACAGAAGATAAGCCAGCAAAATGGTAGATTAAATATTAGTGACATATTCCTTTCTTTTTAACAAGATATGAAAATATGTTTCTATGCTTGTTTTTATTAGCTATTTTACAAGGCATTTGGCTTGATAGAAATAATGGTAATTCTAGAGGAGTTGCAAGATTATCTATAAATGGATGAACAACAAATATACCTGAGACGAATATCAGAGAGCGGTTAAACAGTTTGTGGTACCGTTTTCGGTTCCTCCCTCGCTCGGTTTCTGGAATGCATGCATGAGGGTGTTCTGCTGCACTCAGAATCTTATTGAATACATTGTTGGAGTCGCCTGATTTTGAGCTCACAGGTATAGGAGATTCGATTCCCAATCCCTGACAAACCTAAAACAGATGACTAAATTAAACTAATATTCTAGGGAATCACGTACAAAATACATTTATCCTTTCACATTGAGAGCAGGTACTTCGACATGCATGAAATTTCGAACAATGGGTATAAAGGCAAGAATGGTAAGTATACCCTCACTGAATCTTGTACAGCAAGTGGAGTTGGATCAAGATCATCCTTGGCAGCAATAACAATACAAGGAACTCCGAAACCGCTTACTTCCCCCTTCCTCGCAATCTCCACAAGTAATTCTCTAGATCTATTCCATGAATCTTCATCTGAACTGGAGAGATTAAATCAATATCGAAATGAAGCTTTATATTAGAGAAAGAAACATAATTGACGCACAATGATTCACCATGATAATGAAAACTGCATTCTTCAAGGAGCAATGAAATCAACGCAAACAGTTACCAATTTTACATATTAGCTTTTAGTTCAATGTTACTCATCGTAATTAAGATGACTATGGAAATGTTATCAAAGCATGCATCATTTTACTAAGTTCGTGTTTCTAAATATCATAGGTCATATACATTTATTAACAAGTGACACATTTACGAGCCACAAGCAGCCAGTTTTCAACTCTTGTTTTAGAACAAAAATGAAACTTTTCATTGAAGAAGAGCCCATTTTCAACTTTTAAAGTGGCAGTTACCCCAAATGCAACAATAGGAAACTTTCATATTGTTGTCTATCCTGTTACCAATGAAAATCAAGTAAAAATGGCATGGTACCTGTCATAGACAAAGACAGCAACATCACATCCGGCCAAACACTCTTCATTCGAAAGAAATTTTTGGACACCATCTTCAGGTATCTCTCTCAATATAAGTGTCTTCTGACCTCCCTAATAACATTAAACAGTATAATAAACTTGATAAAAAAGCCAAATAGATAAAGATTTTCAAACTAGGAAAACTATATTAAAAAAGGTAAACATGCAAACTTCAATATTACGAAAGCATTAAACTCTGAAAACACATTGAAGTCACCTGAACACTTTCAAGCATATTCATAGCGTAACTATCTTCAGTTGTTGAGCTATAATTTTTTGAAAAAGGCCTGCAAGTAAGAAGCAATTTAAAGATGATAATAATGAAGATGATAATAATGAAGATATTCCAAAGGTTGTGCGATAAAGCTGGTTCGGCAAAGGTATTAGTGAAATCATCACGAACAAGTGATCAGTACAGGAATGAGACCTTCGAATTAGGGTGTTTAAAAGAGCAGATTTTCCAGCCTTTTTAGGACCAAAAACAAAGCATTGGAACACATTTCTTTCTGTTTTTTGTTTTTTTCGATCAGCCAATCTTCTCCTTGTAACACGGAGTGCTTTAGCTGGATCACCACCATATCCAATGTATATTAAATTAGCCAAACTACTTGGAGGATCCAATATCGTCATCAACGCCCACTGCAGTCACATAATAGAGTTACTGTTGTCATAATCGATCAATCTTTTTATACAACAAAATATCATTTCATTCAACAAATGAAGCTACAAGGGGAAACATAACCTTGTGAAACAATCTGGAGTTCTTTTCAGATGAGAAACAATAATTTATAGATGGAATGAGATTACAAAAAATGGGGAAAGAAATAAAAAATAAAAAAAGAAACTCCACATTGGCAATAATATAAACATTACGGATAGTTACAGAAAGAACTGGATAAAGAATTCTAAAAGAAGCTACGAAAGAATAATATCCCACGGACTTTCGAAATGTTCTCTCATTCTTCTCTAGAGAACTTCTGACAAAATGGCCACAGAGGCATTGAGCCGAATGATCCTCACCTCACCTTTAAACAGTAGGGCTTCGGTAATTCTCAAAGCAAAGGGCAACCAAACACCAAAAAAAAGGTTAAGCAGCTTCCACCAAAGCCTTGGAACGCAAGGTGAGATGAGTAAAAGGTGACCAGGAATTGATCATGTTATTTTTTATTTGAAAGGAATTTAATAGAAAATATTATAGGTATAAGAAAGCAAAATTACGATATCCCAAAAACTTCGAGAGGCCTAAAGTCGCCTAAAACCATTCCTCAAAATTTTCTTGCCTAGAAACCCCCCAACCTTTTGTATTTATAACCACTGCTCTAACAAGTTATTTTGCTAACGAGTAATATACCCCAGATATCCAAACAGTATTTGTAACATGGATATATATTCATGTGAATTGGTTGAAATCACATGGTGGTGCCCACATACCAAGAATATTAAAATCCAATGAGTTATTTGTCAATCAAATGTTATCAGGTCGAGCAATTGTCTCATGAGATTACTCGAGGTGTGCTAACCCAAATACTGATGAATATCAAAAAAGAAAAATGGGAAAACCAAGGGCTTTTTGGACCTACTGCAGGAGTGTTTCTTACCGAACTATTCATTAGTCTAGTCACCATCAATGCAAGCAATAATTCTATACCATGAATTCTCAACTTCCAATAGGTACCTTCCCAAATGGCATATCCCAAGGAAAAGAAACCATACTCTAGTTAACACCAAGTGGCTGGTCTAGAAGTCTCTAATTACACTATTAGTCTTCTTGGCTTTTTCATGAATGACGCTCTCAGCTGGAGAAATAATGACCCTAGATTTCTACTAACCTAAAGTCGTCACCGTCATCATAACATACTCTCTTATGCAGAAAAAAACATTTAAAAACTTCATCATAAAACACTGTCATGGACTTGTGTGTTCGAAAACGTCTTTAAAACAGCATAAAAAATTTCTAAATAAAATAAATAAACATTAAGGATAAAAACAACCTTATTCTAACTTAAGTCTAAGAAAATAAATACACCTATCCTATGCATGTGCCATAGTCTCGTCAGCCGTACAGGAGTGCCTTGCCTTTACCTCAAATAGAAATAGCATGTAGTTTGAGTATTTTAAGAAATACTCATTAAGTGACCCCACTATTGGAGTCAGGGAATGCAAACACATGCAACTCATGATTAGGGACCTATCGTTAAAACCATCATAGAAATGGCCTCCAGTTCGAACAAATTGGATGTGTAATACTTTCCTACACACAACCCATATGTGCGAGCGTGGATCCCCAGGCGGTTCACACCCCCTGGACTCATCATAGTCGAGCTAGTTGTTCGTGGCAACGTCCGGAGGTCAGCAGACCCCTGAATGTCATATGGACATGATCATCATCATCATCCTGTACGCGTCCGTACTCATCATCATAAATGAGAAAGTAACCCGATGTATATGTACACACAAAATGCATGAGGTCCCTATAGTTTTCATTTTTGAAACATTCTTATCACAACCCTATACATCATTCACATATTACCTTAGGTAACATGCAGGCATTGACCTTCATACGATCATCATCATTAACATCAATTAGGGTTGTGTCTTAGAAAACTCTTCGTCATAATGCATCATGACATTTAATGCATGCACATCATCTTGATAGGGAATATCATCATATTAAGTCATCTCATCATCATACATTTTGCATCATCATCAAACATCTTGCATCATCATCATCAAGGTCATCATATAACGTCACCATGTCATCATATAACGTCATCACGTCATCATATAACGTCATCACGTCATCATATAACGTTCTCACGTCATCATATAACATCATCACGTCATCATATAACGTCATCACGTCATCATATAACGTCATCACGTCATCATATAACGTCATCACGTCATCATATAACGTCATCACGTCAACATATAACGTCCTCACGTCAACATATAACATCATCACGTCAACATATAACGTCATCACGTCATCACGTCATCATATAACGTCATCACGTCATCATATAACGTAAAGCATAAATGACACGTGCAAGGATCACTGGGCACGCGTCGTCATACATAAGGCAAGTCTTCCGATCGAGCCGATAGTAAGGCCCATGGTATCTCTTCAAGAATAAGAGATCTGCACCAAGGTGAATAAAAAGAACCGAGGCTAAAGTTTTTAAACAAGTTGTAAAGAAGTTAACAACTTAAATTTTAAACCCCTCCATTTCCCCCACTTTTTTGTTGCTTTGTTAACACTCCCAAGGAGGTGAGATTTTTTTGTGTGTTGGGTTTTACATGGCAGATTTAATACTTTGGGTTGTATTTGCCGGACACTTGTCCTTTTTGATAGAGGCAAAATGTTATATCCTTTGCAAGAAGGCATTGAGGACTTAATCATCTGTTGTGGAGTTGTCACTTCGTTCTTAGTTCAGAATCGTTTTTTTAGACCTTCGTGTTTATTTGGCTCACCCTAGAGATTGCAGTTCTATACTGGAGGAGGTTCTTTGTGTTTCCACTCTCCATTTCGAGAGAAGGGGCTGTTGTTATGGCATGTTGGCTTCTCTACAATTTCCTAGGGGCTTTGGGTTGAGAGGTACAACAATATTTTCAGAGGATCGAAGAGTTCTTAGGAGGAGGTTTGATCTTTTGTTAGATTTCATGTTTCTTCATGGGCATGAGTGTCAACCCTTGAGATCCTATTTTGTTAGATTGGAGCTCCTTTTTTGTTTTAATTTAGCTCCTCTCATCGAGCTGTTTTTTTTTTATGCCCATTCGTATTTTTCCATCTTTCTCGACAGTACTCATATTCACATAGTATATAAGAATGGTTAATGTAACAAAAAATAGCTCTCATTAACATACCTGAGATAGAAACCCACTGAGAGTTAAATTTCCAGGAGTAGTTTTCTCTGCAGAATCCTTGTAAGGAGGCTCATCCCAAGGACTGATTTAAACATGCAAAGTAAATGTGAGGATATCAAATCAGAAAATATTACATAGAGCAGTTAAATATCAATAATATCTGCACATATTAGTGAAAGAAACTTTTACAATGGAATTATACTAAAAGGAAGCATAAGCAGCAACAAAGTAAAAGTATAGTGATTAAATAGTTTGACAGTTCCAATAAAATGAATAGTTTTGCAATAACCTGTCAAAAAACTATAAAGTTTTTTAATCTTAAGATGGAACGAGTATTTGGTTTAAAATAAAAATACAAAATCTGCACAAAGTTGAAGCAATAATGGAGGACATGCCAAAAGCTTAATATGTGTAACATTTAAATGCATGATATGTTACATGAGAAAAGGTTTCTAGAGTAACAAAGTGTACCATTCTGGAGCAGTACTGAATAGTTCCTCGAGCTCTATTGAACGCAGGGCTCCGTCCTAGCAATCCCAACCAAATGCATTTTAAGGTTCAGATAAAGAAGGTTAACGCCGTTAAAAGCCTCAACTACCAAATACCATACCATTACAGTAGGAAGAAAAAAGAAACAGTGTAAAAAAACCTCAGGGTAGGTAAATACACACATTATCTGTGTCGAGCAATTGGAATACGCCACGCAAGAAATCCAAAGCTTCATTTGACAGCTCCATGCTCTAACAATAACATCAAGTAAGTATTTTATGTACAAACATCTATTGAGAAAATTGTAACAGTGGAAAAATAATAATTATTCACGGTAGTTACATACTGAAAATTCAAACGCAACTAAAATGATACATTATTGGCTGCACTCTTGCAAAAAATACAACAAAATAGCCCGATCAAGAGGGACCCTCTAGCCAACATCTGATCCAAGGTGTCAACCCTTCCATGCCAAACCTACCACACAAAAAACAACCTTTTTGGAACCTTCACCTTTCACGAGGAGAATACAGAACCACTCGACAGGGCAAGGACTCCAAAGTCAAATATTCCCCCTAACTGGGACTAAACCAAAACTCATTAATCAAGGATAACAAAGTGATAACATTTGTCATTTCCCTATTGGTCAAACACACAACAAAAACCAGAGGGAGAAGGTGTGGCTTTAGAAGAATAATGAGAGAGCAAAAGGATCGAAGCCACCAAATCATTCCTCAACGAAGACAAGTGATTTAACTAGGAAAACGAGTCTATCACCCAACCACTTGTCCTCCCAAAAGTAAGTATCTCACCCATCTCCCACCACACTATGAACAAATTGAGAACAAAAAGCAAAATCAATCAAAATATCTTTACACGGGTTACTGGAAGGGGTGAAGACCGTAATTACAATAACCTTGTGTATTAAGGTGTTTGTTTCATGATGGAATCGCCAAAGCCATTGAGCCAACAAGGCCTTGTCTCACCCTTACTTTACCAATGCCTAAACCTCCCAAGTCGAACAGCTTAGAAACTACCTACCAACTCACAAGATGAAAGCCCTTTCTCTCATCCACCCCCTCCCACACGAAATCCTTTTTAAGCCTTCTATTATTCCATGGTTCTTATTAACCATTAGTCAACCCATGATAGTTTATGCAAACGGTACTCGATGGTTTTTGAACTATAAAAAACCATAATAGCATAAAAATAGTATGTTTGGGCTTGAGTTAAGAACATGCTCGGTCAAGGTTGCATATCCCCACCCCATGGTGAAGTGCTGGAGAGTTGGCCTTTCATCTAAAATAATAAACCACATTTTAATTTTTGGATGGTGATCGGGTGAAGAAAATGGTACCTACCTGATCAGAAGCTTGCTTAGATGGAACTGGAAGATAATCTCCACTCAAATTTAAATCATCATCATAGCCGAATTTCCTTAACACTGCCCAAGTAGTCTCAAGGCGGCCCTTTTCTATGAATAGAGCATGAAGGAATAGGAACCCAGGTAGGGTAAGACCATGATCATTGACTCCAATTGATAAGTTCTCTTGCACAACTCTTTTAACGCCCACTATTTCATTAGGCTGCAGTGGAGCATTGAAGCACTTGACCTGTTTAATAGTTGATACATGTTAGCTTCAGAAAAAGAGGGAGAAAGTGCAATAAAACCACCAGAGGGAAAACAAGAAGTTTTTTTTTTTTTTTTTTTTT